TGGTGTGAAAAAAATAATACAAACTCTGATGCCAGTCAATGTTGCAAAACCATTTTGAATACTGCACATTTGTTCATTCAATTACCCTGAACCGATTATGATCAAAACACCGCAGGTAGCCATTGTCGGAAAATGGCACAGGAAAGATAAGGGGTAAAAAAACGTCACTAGTTGGTGAAGGACATAACAGCAGGAAACTGTACAGTATGGTCTCAGAGGTCCAGATGCACATTATGTACAGGATATACTTTAAAGACCTGCCCTCTTTTAGAAGAACAAAAGAAAACTGCACCAACACCCGGTAGGCTTTTGCTTCCTTTATTCCCTCACTGCGCATAAAATAACGTATTACTTTGCTTTATTCTGCTGCCAATGCACTTTGTTCTGCTCTGTAACAATAGTTTTTGTTGAAATACTACGGCTGAAAATTACAGAGCTTATCATGACATTTTAGCTGCTTATCTTTGAGGAAGCCACTTAGTAGAGAGGCAAAATTCAGTATAAAGTAACAGAGAACACTGCAGAAGGAAATACACAAAACAGATTCAAAGTGACAGAAAGAGAAACAAACCACCTCAACATCCTCTTTTCTTTCCCCTGGCTGTCCTCTCACAGTAACTTTCCTTGACTGATGATAAGTATTGAGATCATAAGTAGTGAAAGTCATGTTTAAGGTCTGTACACTGCTTCAGGACATGGCCCGGCTGCATTTTTAAAGAATTGGGGAATTGTGTGTTATTTCTTTTTTTTACTTTAGAGCCATTTTAGATGCTATCAGCAGATATGGCTTTGTTCCTGGTTTCTATACTACTAGCTGATTGCAACCCATCACTCATGAAACTCCTGCCGTTAATGAATTGGCGTTTCCCTCCAGACTTTACCAGTTAGTTCAGTAGCGCCTGTTGCAAAACTGAACTCTTGATATTTCCTCGTGTTTCTGCCTCAGGTTCATTCCTATAATCTGCCCGTCTACCTCCCCCAGCCCCTCGTCAATCTGTCTCCCACCCCACAGTTCTCTCCTCACTGCCTGCCCTGAGCCAGATCAACAAATTCTCAATAAACTCAGTAAATGGTTGGCAGCTGACTGCTTATTTTTGGTCCTAAGACTTTAACTGATAATAACAGATGTTGTATTGCAGGATGTAAACGTTTAGGGACAACAAAGCAAAGCGTGTGTAAGCGAAGTTTTGCAGGTATTTTGAGTTTCAAGGGAGATGTGTGTTTATTGTGTTTCTCAAAATTAAATTGGTGATTCAAAATAGTACCAATACAATTGATAACAAGTATGCCAAAGTGTGTCATACATTGGCACAACTTCCTTAAACAGACACCAACTACGCAGTGTGGAAATGCCTAAACAGAATAAGATCTGGTGTTGGACGTGCAAAAGCCACTCTCGCCAAATGGGGATACCTAAATGACGGGGACGTTGTGTGTGACTGCGGCATTGAACAACAAACCATGCAACACCTCCTGATATGCCCCCTGCTGGAGCAACCCTGCACAACATCGGACTTGGCAGAGTTTAATGAGAAGGGACAGCAATGTGTTCAGCTGTGGCTGAACCACATCTAACCAAGCCCTGTAACTGACTGCCTTGTGGACACGATAAGAAGAAGAACTTCCTTAAAAGACATTAATACCACATTAGTGCGTCAGTCAAATGGACCCAGAATGATGCAATGTTCATAACAGGGGACCAAGAACAACGGGCAAATTACAGACAAGAATGGGATTTGTATAGGAACCAGAGCTGTGACATCAACGGATGGAAACTTAGAAATTGCAAGGTGAGGAAGAGAAAGTATGAGAGGGAGAGAGGAAGGGATAGGACCAGGACAGGAAGAGGTGGAGAGAGGAATGTGTTGGGGGTAGACATACAGAAGGAAATGGCCACAGAGACATAAAGGTACAATAGGAAGTAGAGAGGGTTACATCGACACCAGTCGGGCCAACGCATGTTTTTTGTTCTTCGTGTGGTTTCCTCTGCGAGTGTTCAGCTCTTCCAATAAACGGCTTGCAGGCTCCAAGGTCTCAACATTGGCCTGTAAAAACAAAGGACTGTCTTATGCTGTTAAACTGAATGATTTGATGACATGATATGGGTTTACATCATGAGCTGTACATTGAAAAAAGAATGATAAAAAGTCTGAGAGTTTGCCTTATTTCTTACTCATTTTCTGGGCAAAGAAAACAATATTTTGTTTAAAACTGTTGCTTCCAATAACAACATTTTTATATTCAGTACTGCCAGTTTCACTATATTACCTAATTGTCTTGGAGAAAAACATGAAAAGAGCTGCCGATCTCCCTCTCTTTATGGTGGCAAGACTTCTATAAAGTATGAAACGTGTTGGCACGGACAAAATGACGTGTCTGATGCAGTGCAGACAATAGAGACCGGCTTCTCAACCTTTTTTAACTAAAGGTCCAGTTCTGATTGTTAAAACATTTCCAAGGTCCACCTTCCCAACTGACGGAGAAAAAAAAAATAATTTGG